TGTCACTGTTCCAAGTAAATTTACATAGTGTTATCTCAGCTGAACTAACAAAGAGTGTTCAAGCTTGATCTACGTTTAAGTCCAACTTTTAAAAGGACAGGGCACAGATCCATAATCGTTAGTGCAATTATGTGCTTGATTTACATGTACAGTTCCTGCAGTTACCTATGCAAACTGACTATATACATGGTCTCAAAATGGCCATTTAATACGTAATACTCAAATCTATGGTTTTGTATAATGCATATGAACTAGTTATGCAGTTCTGCATAGTCATAAACTGGTGCTTACAGGAATGTGGATCTCTCATAATAGAAAAGAGATCCATATGTTTTGTTTGACTGCATGGGATTGCTCAGTATAAATTTTCTTTGGAATTGTTAAAAATCTTGCAGGTGAAATCAGCTGAAGATTTTTTTTGTTCATAGGATTCACTCTTGGCTATCACACAATGGCAGGGGTTGGAAGGGACCTCTGGAGATCATCTAGTCCAACCCTCCTGCTAAAGCAGGTTCACCCAGAGCAGATCACACAGGGCTGCATCCAGGCAGGTTTTGAATATCTCCAGGGAAGGAGACCCCACAACCTCCCTGGGCAGCCTGTTCCAGGGCTCTAAAACCCTTAAGGTAAAGTTTTTCCTCGTGTTGAGGCAGAACTTCCTGCGCCCCAGTTTGTGCCCGTTGCCTCTTGTCCGGTCACTGGGCACCACTGAAAAGAGCCTGGCCCATCCTCCTGACACTCACTCCTTAGATATTTATAAGCGTTGGTAAGGTCCCCTGTCTGTCTTCTCTTCTCCAGGCTAAACACACTGAGGTCTCTCAGCCTTTCCTCATAGGAGAGATGCTCCAGTCTTCTAATCATCTTAGTAGCCCTCCGGTGGACTCTCTTTAGTAGTTCCCTGCCCCTCTCGAACTGCTATGTTCCTTGTAAAAATTCTAGACAAACTCACAAGGATAGTCTTTAATGTTATGACCAAGAACAGAATATGCAGAGTTGGGCAGGCTGAGATCCAACTGTTGTTGTGTGCCAGGGTCCTCCGAAACGGCTCGTTAGACCCAGTTCTACGATTCCAGTCATCAATTGTCTGCTGTGTACCGGTGTCCGCTACGGTACCGGTGACATGCAGAATACAGGCTGATATTTTTGATGTTACAAAGATGTCTGTGTAACCATTAATTTTTTTTTTATTGAGAGAGAGCACTATCATTTAAGATGATACAGCTAGTAAAACCAGCTGAGTTAGGTTGTAAGTTACTTGAAGCTCTTTGTTGATCAAGGAAGCAGAGTCCCTGTATTATGGCGAAAAATACATAAAGAACCCCGCTGTAGGTCTATTGGTGCCTTTGTGCTGGTGTTCCCCTGAAGAGTAGCTGCACGTTAATGAAAGGGCAACTTGCACAGTGTGTAACAGGGCTTTTCAAACGTGGGTGCTTCACATGGGGAGTTCTGGTCGCCTTGTTCAAGGGACAGGGAAGAGGTGAGTGATCTGGTGGCTTCATTTGTATCTTCTCAGGAGGGAGCAGAGGTGTACATCGATGACTGAGACCACAGAGCCTGGTTTTTGCTATTCACACAACACCCTAGAGGTAGAAGATTGTTTGACAATTGAGTCCCACGGTTACAATGTGGATAATGATTGTGTGTTTAATTCTGTAAAGCAGTCATCTAGACTGGGATAAATTTTATTTGCTAATACGTAAGTAAGTAAAGACCTGGAGAGGGAAATCTGACAAGTTTTCCTAGCGTAAGATTCAAAGCCTGAATCAGACATTAACAATGCACATACTGGTTTTCAGTTCTTGTAACACCATTTGTGAGTAATGTAGCCTGTAGTCAATCCTTAAATTTGACAGAATAAAACTTAATCCGTCATATCATTAGTCTTATCTGGCAATAAGCATAACTTCTATAAGCAAGAATAATATATGCAGTAAGCATAACTTTCGCATAATAAGCATAACTTTTATAAGCCAGAACCATTATCATCAAGAAAGATGTAGCACTGTTAATTATTCAGTAGAAAAATGGGTAACTGTCGTGTAGTAGGCAAATAGTCCATGGAAAGCAGTCTGTCTGGTAGGACCCAGCAGAGTTCACAGTGTGGATGGGTGTCTTTTTCAGGATGCCAGTTAATACAGCGTGAGCTGCGAGGGCAGGAGCTTTGCACCCTGTGCCACGGTCAGTTGGGAGCTCTGACATGTTTATGGGGATGAGTCTCCATTCATGAGAGAACAGCGAAATGAGACAATCTGTGGTCTATTGAAACAGCAGTCATCATGTGATACTACTGCAATCACAATTTGTCTCCCTTTTTGCCTAAGTAATGTGATTTTACACGACTTTGCCATTTGTAGGTGATGTTTCACAATTGTTAACTGTCAGTGAAAATGTATTCTTGCTTAGTTTATACTAATTGAGAAAACTGTGTTAATTGATCTTTTGTGTAACTGTGTGTGACTATAGCAGAAACTTACATTTTATGAACGTATGACTATGTTTACGTTTTATGAACCTGATGCTAGGCTGTACTTGTGTACTTGTCTGTGTGAGAGACTCGGTTATCGCTTAAACACAAGGAAACAGATTTTCCTGACTTGTATATGGAAGTTGAGTAGTAACATCTTGGTAGTGTAACTTTTGGTGTTACGTTTCTGTGTTATTTTAAGGAAAAAGAGAAGAGTTAAATGGTAAAGGGAGTGAACCTTTAGCAGGAGTAACTATTTTTTTTCCTATTAGAAGTCCACTATTTCTCCTCTTTCTTCACAGTTAGGAATGAGAAAAGACCTTGTAAGTGAAGCTACTCCCTTCAACTGGGCAGCCCATGTTCATTCATGCAGGGACAGAATTGGGGTGGTGATGTGTTATAAAGCACTTGAGTAATCCAAAAGCAGCTAAACCAAACTTTATTAAACCTTAGTAAGATGTCACCTTTGAGCATAGGATAGATAGAAATAGAAATAAAACTAAAACAGAGACTTCTCTTTTTTTCTTGTAAAGTTAGAAGTGCCTGCAAATTCAGGTGAGAAGGGATGTAGTTTCTCTTTTAGCTATATAGTGCTACTACTGGTCAGTGAAGTTAGTGCATCCTCCCTTGTGCTGCGGATAGCAGATTTACGGCTGCCTTATAGTGTTAAAGAAAAATTGATGACCAGTCTTATTCCTGTTGCATTAGCATTATGCTGTATCAGATGATTATTGTGGTTTTTGCTCAGCCATCTCGGTAAATGGCTTTCTTTAGCTCTAGTGGAATGTATAAGGAACTCTTGCTTGAAATCGGAAATTTAAGGGAGAGTGTTCAAGTTCTCACAGATAGATAATAATTGTGTTGTGGAAACAATATAAACAGTGTTAAGAACAATAGGACTTCAGTGAACTGAAGGCACAGTATTCTTTTTGGCTTTACTGGAGTTGTCTTTAGTCTCTACTCTGTCTTCACTGAAGAAAATCCCCATCTTCTTTTTACATTGTCTTACCTCTTTGTACTTTGCTTAACATCCTTTGCAAGCCTGACTTCTAGCAGTTTATACTTACAGTTCTTGGCCTCTGTGATGAAACTTTCTTTCTTGACTAGACTGTCAAGAAAAACTGTTCCCCTTTGTCTTTTTTAAGACTTCTATTCTAGCCACCATTCTGGAGTCTTACACTGCAAGGTTTTTATCTTTGTAGGCTCTGATGTCTAGTCCTTTCACATATTTTACTTGAAAGCCTTCTCTGCATTTGGACCTGCATGCATATAAGTGCGTTTCACTCCCTTGCCTAGCTTTCTTACAAGACTTTGCCTTTTAAAAGTCCTAAATCTTAGTCATACATATGCTTGCTTATTCTTTCACTGAACTTAATAATGCATCCCAGTATTATTTTTATAGTTGGCTTTTCCGTACTGTTCTCCTTGGTTACCAAAACCAAATCTAAAATAACCTTACATCCTGTTAGTTCACTGACAACTGAGTTTGTCATCTACAACCAAACAAAATAACTGGGTCCTGTTTAGGTTGATGAGTAAAGCCAGTTGTTTCCAAGTCTGTATCTGGGATGTTAGTCTTCCATAATAACACAATTCCTAGTAGCATTTGTTTGTCTCCAGTAATGTTTCATTTTGATTCATATCTGAATCTGACCTATGGGATTGGTAGCTGATTCTTGCAATAATCCTATGCGGTCTCTTTTCCCATCTTTTCCCTAAATAATTTGAAACTGCTGAGAGCATGATAGTTTCTCTACCCCACTTTATAGATGCTCAGTTAAAAATTTAACAAAACTAGCAGTACAAGGAGGTAAAAGTTACTTAGGCAAGGTGGAATAAGTGAGGGTTTCAGGGAAAAAAAAAAAAAGAGATTAAATGAGAAAATCATAAGTGTGGAAGCAGTAAGGAAGCATTTTTGAGAAGGCAGGAACCACAAAGGAAAATTTGTACCCCTAAAAAGTGATTTTAAAAAGGCAGTGTCTGAAAATGAACAGTGAAAACACAAAAATGGGGAGACAGAGGACTCGGACTAGTCTTTAGGTGGTCTAGTGGGGGAAAAAATGAAGAAAAGCTGTGAAGTAATTGAAAAAGAAGGCTATGCTATTTGTAGCTGGGCACTGAAGACACTTGATAAAACAAGGTAAAATTGGCGGGCTCGGTCAAGTTTCCTTCTCCAGCTGTAGCCTAGAGGAACTCAGACGTGGCATCTCAGATAAAGAAGTCCTAGAAATCTAGCGGAGAGGACATGGACACATAAATGAATACCAAAGTTTCTACTGAAGTAGATGTCAGATAAGAGCTTATCGGTGATGTCACAGAGGTGGTGGAAGATATAGACAAGCATAAGCAGAAGTGCAAGCAGAGATTCACAGACACACGCTTTACAGAGTTATCTTAAAATTTTGAGATGTAGCCACAAATGTTTTGTCAGAAGAGAGAGATTGGATAGACGGAAACCTCTGTGATGTGGCTGTACATGAGCAGCTGAGAAGTTTAAAGGTAGCACCTTGATAAGGAGGCAGCAAAAAGAGTAAGGATGAAGAGCATGAAACTTGTGAGCAGTGTGCCCGATGCAAGGTATGAACGTAGCGAAAAGCAGTACCGCTGCACCCTGGATGCAGTAGTTTAGTAGCTGCATGGAAAGCATCACAGCACATGAGCATAACTGAGGACACGATCCCAAAGTCTTGAAGGGTTGAAGGAGGCTGAGGAAAGATAGAAAGAGTAAGGACCAGCAAAAAGTAGTTGTTTTTTCTACATGACACAGTAAGACTTCACAGCTGTATTCAACAAGTTACAAGTCTGGAAATGGCTAATGACACTGTGCAAAATGGAAGTAGTGAGGGAGAAAGAGATGCTTTACTAAAATATTAGGTTTTGAAAAGAGTCTGAATAGGAGAAGGGGGGATTTTTTTAGAAAGAGAAAACAAATGTTGGCTTTATATACTTTCAGAAGGTAACGCAAGCAGAGCTGTTGACTCCAGCAGTAATCAAAGGGAAAGCTGATAGAGTGAGAGCAAACAAGACATTTAAAATAACAGGTGATTTTCAGAGGAATGGTTTGACAGCTATAGGCAGGGAAGTGAAGGAGAGAGGGAGAGGAAGGAAAAGGTGGAGAGAGCTCTTAAATAAAAGGGTTGAGGTTTTCAGAAATTCTCTGTAATTCAGCTGTGTTGTCAGTGGAAAGTTGGTCTCTTAGAGAATGACTCAGGAGCCTAATATCTTTGAACTGTCCCTTGAAGAAGTTGGTGTCTGTGCTGCCTGTACAGGAAGTTTAGGGTATTTTGCCCACAACACTGGTGTCCAAGCTCATGCCACAGTTATTCTATGCAGTTACTTCATAACCCACTGTACACCTTGTTGGGTGTGAAGCGGTTCCAAGGGTAAGTGGGAAGCAGAGCCGGGGAAAGGGGTGGAAATGAATATGGTATACATTAAAGAGTAAGCAGCCATTTTAACAGTATAGAGAGAGCAGAAATATACTTGTAGCCTAGGAGGCATCCTGTAAGAATTATTTCGTTAATTGTCTGCAAAGTTTTTGCAAAGGTGAGGTTAGTATTTCAAGAGTTCTGGTTCTGGTTTGTTTGTGCAACTCTTATTTGTCTGTTCAACTTCCCCTTGCTGCCCATCTGGGTTATTTCCATCGAGCTATTATGTAGCTCTGTTAAACAGCTGTCATCATCTTCTGTTCAAGTGGCTGCCTTATGCCAGAGAGGAAATGATGCTGCTATACAAGAGCTTTGTCGTGTCTGATACACTCCGGACTTGACATACTGTGTAAAACTCACACACTATTAGTTTTTAGCAACTTGTACAGGTTCTTTTTTCCTTGCCATTGACTCTTAAACGTGTTTGTCATGAGCCATTTTCTCTAACCCTTCTGTTTCAGAACGACTATCGCAAGCTGTCTATGCAGTGCAAGGATTTTGTGGTTGGTGTTCTTGATCTCTGCCGAGACTCGGAAGAAGTGGAAGCCATTCTGAACGGGGATTTAAACTCTGAGCCAGTTGAAGCGCAGAGACACAGAGCATCACTGAGCCGTGTGAAGCTGGCCATTAAGTATGAAGTCAAAAAGGTAACTCCTCAGAGCCAGTGCTTTCAGACGGTGTCACAGGAAGACAGTGTCATCTCCTTATTCCACAGGTGTTATGAGCTGGTGGTCAGATGCATTACTGGGACATAGCGAGTATGATCAAGATGCTTGCAAAGCAGGCGCTGGCAGAAGGGAGCTACAGTGGAGGAGTTTAGTTTAATCTACTTTCCACAGCTGAAAATTGGCAGGAGATTTTAATGAAATAAATCAGCTGTGCTAGCAAGGTTATACTCTGTTGGTCAGATCTTTCTCCTGATTAAGCCAAAAGAAGAGATTTCAGTGGAGCCAGATTTTTCGCTCAGTGAAAGTAAGGATCTGTCTTCCTGCCAGCCTGTGTGATAATATCTAATCCAAAGAGAAAGCTGTATTTGTGAAAGTGTTGGTTTCAACCAATGAAAAGAACTGATTTGTTCGTTATATCTTTTTATTACCTTTGCTTTCTACCTCAAGTAACTTAATCAGGGAAGTGAATTCTGGGAGGTAAGTCTTGCAGCTTGCTACTATTGTTTTTATCAACACATGGGTCTTTTTTGAAAAAAAGGGTCTTTCTTTTACTACTTTGAAAAACGAAAAGAGAACATCTAAGTTGTCAGTAACTATATGATTTTTAAAATTTATTTTAAAATATGACAGTAAATCAAACAGCTCACCTGTAACTATGAGGTTGTAGTGAGGAATTCTACATTATTTACTCTGTGTGTACCTGTAAAAAATATTTTTAAATTCAGTCCTGAAAATATATGGAATATATTTGTGGCTAGTTAATCAGTTCATTTCAGTTCTTCATCTTTGCACCTGTATAGGTGTTTTGCAATGTGTTTTCAGTTGATGCCTCTCTCAAAGTAATTTTCAGTGAATGCTTATTTGTGAGTGAACGTTATGTCTTGAAAAATGGAGCTGTGTATCACACATTTGACATGATGCATATCCATTTATTGTAGCAGTTTTCAATATATGGCTATGTTGTTTTTTCTAAGATCCCACTAACCTAGCACAGAAAATAGTTAATACTGTGTCCTACTGTGAGAGGAATCAAGAAATAAAGCAATGCCTATATTTTATTTACAGCTAGCTGTTTACATGGTTAACATTATTTCCGTTCTTAACAGCCATTATAGGTTCATCATCTCTGCAAGAAGTCTTTTGTCTTTCAGAATAAATAACACTGTATTCTGTGGTCACCTGTTGAGCCAATCTACTGTAAAATGAATTGTAAGCAACCTGCCAGAACAACTGGGAAATATTGGTGTTTATTATGTCCCTAAAAGATGAGTAACAAAAATTGTAAAGACAGATCCTGAACAGCAAATCATTGTTTCCAATATAGAATTGGTCTACAGCAGATAAATGCATACTAATTACCAGAATTCATGGTAAATAAATAGGAGTATTAAATTGATTAAAAAGAATGAAGCAGGGAAAGAATCAAAGTACATAAACATGTTATCATATCTAAATAACATATGAAATTTTTATGCTGTTGCATATTAATGTTACCAACCCTTTGCTGAGACTTCTCGGATTTCTTGTTGAAGACTCTGGTTTTCTTCGAAGAGGTCGTTGTCACTGATTAAATCAACTGCTGGGCAAAGGGCCACACAGCTCTGTAAACAATAACAAAAAACCTACATAGTGCAAAAAAAGACAATTCCATGTAGCAAACTTGTTTTCTTCTCTTGCAAGAGATTGATTATTTGTAGATAAACTTAATTCATGACAAATAGAGTTCAGAACCTACCGGACTAATGATCGTGGTGGAAGGAAGTAAATAGATGGTGCGTCTGTTTACCTATGCTGTTCATGGCCATCACGGAGGGCGTGACAAGGGTTGAACCAGGAAATGTCTCTGCCATGGTGGTCCTTTGGTGCTGGGACTGGCTCCATTACAACTGTGGAAGACTATAGCGATATTCTGACTGTAGAACAGATTGAGATGTGGGAACTCCCCACAGGATGCTTTCAACTCTACAGCTGTAGGAAGAAGACAAGGATGTGGCTTATGTTTCTTAGCTTTCAGTATTTCTACCTGCACTTCTGGGTCAGCTACGTTAAGGTCAGTTCACTGTTGCAAGACAGATAGTACAGCCAAATAGAAGTGCAGGTTCATTAAATGGTTAATGAGCCTTATGCCCTTTTCAGAGGGAGGAGAGACAGGAAAAAGCATATGACAAGTGAGCAAATGTGCGCAGAAGTTCACTGCTAGGGAAATGGAGGTTTTAATTCTATTAGTAATGAAACTCTTGCACTTAATACCCTAAGCACTGCATTGAAGTGTAGCCCATCTTGTAAACAGGATATGATTTTGAAGCTAGGGTTCAGACTGAAACTGCAGCCCCAAGAGTGAAAGACTAAGGGAATTAAAAAACAAAAACAAAAACAAAACCAGAAAACCACGAAACAAGAAAAACTAGTTAGAACAAGTGGTCTTGCTCCGTGTGCTGAATAGCTGCTGCAGCAGTGCTTTTAGTATTGTATCTTAACTCTGTCTTTAGATTGCTGACAGTATTTCAGAGAAGTTGCTGACACTGGGCCAAGTTCTCCAGTTCTTGCTGAGATAAAAATCAGAGTGGAATTTCCAAGTGAAATCAGTAAGAGTTTGAGTAAAATAACAGGATTTAATTTTCAAACACTGAAGGTTGCAAATTGATAGATAATAAAAAAGATTCAAAATTCTCTTTGTATGTTGTGTGTTTGGGTATCAGAGCGTGCCAGCATCTGTTCCTGCTATGTCTAAACTCAGTCATTAGGACGTTAGGAATAAATACCATTATAGTCATTCTTAGTCATACAGAAAAAATTTATATATTGAAGACTTGGTTCGTGGTTATGAAACTGAAGTGTAACAGTCAATTATACCCAGAAAAGCAGCTAAATTAAAATGGGGATTTTTTTAGTGACCAGAGTGTGTCCTCATGTATCTTTGCTGTTCACTGGAGTTTGGATTGGATCCTAAGATATTAGATAAATCAACATGTAATGAAAATCAACATGTAATGAAAAAATAAGAAACATGGGAAGTAGGATGAGAAGAGAAATGCAGAAGGAACAAGGTTGTAAGATGATGTGATTGGTAGGTGAAATATGTGAATCTACTGTCCCTGGAGGAGATAAAGCTGGGTGGAGACAGATATACAAGGGGGAAAAAAGCATAGAAGAGGTTGCACTTGCTGAAAATAAAAACAACAGAAGCATCAATGCAAATATTTCAGCAGAGCTGGAGAAAAGGATGTATTTTGGAGATTTTGTGGATGAGAGAAGTGACATGAGTTGCTCTGAGGGCTTGGAAGTGGCGCACGTTGTGCAGTTGCCAACAGTTGAATAAGTTCTAAGATCTTCTCAAGAGCCCTTAGACTTACTGCCAGAGAAGAACTTGCCATAACCATTGGCATCTTACGCACTAACTCCTCCCTGTTCTGGGGAAAATTGTAGCACAGGCAGATCTCCTCTTAGCATCAGATCAAAATGTTGATAGACCAGGAGGAGTAAACGAGCACACAGCCCTGGATGACGTGCAAGAGGGCCCGTGGGCTGATTCATAGCCCTAGGCAAGCTCCCTTAAAGCTTCTTTGCTGTTTCTTCCCATTCCCTCTGGTAATAGAAGGAATTAGTGGGTGTTTCTTCTCTCTCTTCTTCCCTGCAGTTTTAAGTCTGCTTTTTAAAAATGTCTTTGTAATTTGAAATAACTATTTACTTTCCTGTCTTTGGCCACAGTTACCTTGCTGTAGGATTTGTCCCTTGATGTTCTGAGTTGAGAATGAAATTTATCTTAGCTAAAGAGGAGACTGGGGACATATGTTAGAATGCACAAACACACAAAAAACAGTCTCTTTTTTTCAAACTGGCCAGGCTGGCAGTTCTTATGATTCATAAGCTTCAAAGATGACAGCATAATAAAAAGAATACATAGTTCAAATTGACGTTAATTTCTTAAAACCCTTCTAAAATATTTTTGTTTATTTCTGTTGGTCATTCCACTGTCGGTACAAACTGCATTAATATGTGATCTAACTGGTTAATCACGCACCAAAATACTTTGGGACTTAGGTTTTAAAGCAAAATAGATTAAAAAATGAAGATTGCTTCCCTTTTTACAGTTCCTGTAACAGCTTCAGATTCCTCCTCTGAGAGTTTTAAGGTTCCCTGTTTTCATTGCCAATGATTTAATTTGATTTGTTTTTAAGAAGTCTGCCCTATTGTACTACTGTATGCACTTTTTAATGAGATTTGGAATATAAATGGTGTTTTGCAGGCAAGACCTGGCAAACAAGACTGTATATAGTACATTATGATCTCAATAGAGTACAAAGGATAATAAAATTGATGTCCAAGGCTTACAGTATTTTTTTTAAATATAAGCAACTCTGATCAAATCTCACTCTTAATCTAACACAGATTATCAGAGTTATCAGAATTATTTTCAAATCTTTTTTGTGACACTGCCTAGCATTCTTTTCTCCATTTTACTAATTATTGCCAACCAATGTGACGTGTATTACCAGATTTCTTAAATTGCTGTGGTAACTAGGCTGCCTACCCTTGTGCTTCACTGATGTCCTACATGCTCTTGTGATGTGGGAGTCTCATAGGACACGGTGTAGTAGTAATAGTGGTAATGATGAGTATGATAACGCTTTAAAAATGGACTTAACCAGAAATGTAAATATAATGGGCAAAGAACAGAGAGCGCTATAGAATTCTTCTTCCTTCCTACCCCTTACGTTTCTTCAGTAGCTGCACCCAACATGGGCTGCACACTCCTGGTTACACGACATCATCCCGATGGAGTGGCTGCATAGTCTCCTCTGTCCACATTGCTTTATCCTAAAGAAATACAACAGTGCTTTAAAAATAGAGCAATATTTACACACCTTTCAACAAATTCGACCAAAAGTGATTTTAGTAAAATAAAGCGTGTCTTAACAAATGGAATTGTTATTCAGGACTTCACCAGGCATCAGACTTAAGTATGTTTGAAAATTATCTTTCGTGTGTCCATATCTGGCTACAAGAAAACAAAGTACCAAAATTTGGATGTAGGGTTGAACATGCCAAAAATAGTCTGACATTCAATGAATTGAAATACAGTGATAGCCGTGCGTGCTTAGACTACTGACAATCAGTCAGTTTAATTGTTTAAATGCCTTAATATGTCAACTTTTGGTAATTTCATCAGAGGCTATATTTATTCAGTTATTTGTAAACATCTAGTCTTGTGGCTTCCTTTATTATGTTTGATACCTTTTAGTCCTTCTGCTATAGAAATACATGAGCAAACACTTAATATTGATAAATAATAATGTAAACTAATCAGCAAAGATAAAAGAAACATCTCCTAAAAGAAATCATTAAAATCATCTTGCTCAAAAATCACTGAAATGTTCATATTTTTAGCTAAGTATACACAGATCTTATTTGAGCCTTCTGCAGTATATTGTTAAGCTGTTAACTCATTAAAACAGAAATAGCATTAGACTGTATCGTGATAACAATCTATACGTTCAAAGTCCTTTAAAATCTCAGAATAGTGAAATGGGAAAAGTTGTTTTTGAAAACTGTCAAATTTGAGGATTTAATATTTTCCAGCTGAGATAGTATCAAAGGCATGAACATAGAGAAAACAGAAAACTGTACAGCAAAACACAGTCTATTACAGAGTCCTTAGAGCATCATCAAAACCATAAGGTCTTTTCATCTGGTTCACAAAATTGAATTTCTTTGTGTTACTGAATGCTAAATTTTGTTTTCCACAAAACATGAAAGTGTTCGTAGTAAGTGGCTTCTGATTATTTTTCAAATCCTGCATACATCTAAGTAGAGGTGATACCTAGCACCATTGGTGGTAGTAAGAGAAAAGAAACCTTTTCAATATTCATCTGTGTGTTCTGGTGAGGTTTAAAATTCTGTGCTGTACTTTTGCTTCATTTATTTCTTGCCTCGGTAAGTTTTAGACTGAAAATGTATAGATGGTTAAGGAGGTATTTGGAGCCTTTGTCTAAATCAAAAAAAAACATCAAAAGTGTTTTAAGAGGACTGTGAAGAGCATGCGCCGGAAGGGGAGAGGCTAACGGTGGATTATGGTCAGACCAGAATTTTCAGTCTCCGCAGAAATTCTGCATGTGCCTTGGATCAGCTTGGTTTGCTGTGAAATTCTTGGAACTTAGGACTGAGGTTCGACTCTGACAGGATCCAGCTGGGTATGTGAAGCTGTTCTAATAATGCATAAAAGGCTTTGATCAGCGATGGCTGTCCACATGCACAACCTTGCCCCCAAAGTGCTGCTTTAAATCAGCTCAGCAGTTTCTTCTTTATTTATTAACCTTTATTCTAAAGGAAAGGAGAAAAAACCATGGTTCTTGAAGTCTAAATTAACACCAGATATTTAAGGTGATCATGATCGTGTATGTAGCAGTTATATAACTCTTCTTACAAATTATAATATGTCTTGGTTTTCTTTCTTTTTCTTTACAGTTTGTGGCCCATCCAAACTGTCAGCAACAGCTACTGACTATCTGGTATGAAAATCTCTCAGGATTACGGGAGCAGACCATAGCTATCAAGTGTCTGGTGGTGCTGGTTGTGGCATTGGGCCTTCCATTTCTAGCCATTGGTTATTGGATTGCACCATGTAGCAGGGTACTGAATTTTATAAATTACGTATCTTGTGCTATTCTGGGAGCTGTTTTTCAATTTCTGGCATTCAAAATGCGATGTTGTACCTCCGATTCTGTTGCTTCCAAATGTTAACTAATTAACGATATTTTTAGTAATCTCTAGTCTTGAGCCAAAAGAGCCTATTTGCTTTGTTTGCACTGGGAAGAGGGGACCACAGTGATGAAGGATGAAAATAAATTGTTGTTAAGTTTAAAGAAAGAAAAAAAAAAACCATCTCTGAGAGCATTTTTTTTCTTTTTTAAGTTTCTGTGGATTGTGCTCACCTTGCAATCTCTCCTATGTAATTGTACTTGTATTTGTAACATGGATTTTTTGGAAGTCACCTCTCAGATTCTGCGTTAGGTCTCCTCTGATGGCATCTAAGAGCTGATGCTGTTCCCATATAAACTATTAGCAGAACATCTGTTGACTTCACTGATGCAGAACTTAATCTTAAGTAAAATATTTGTTATTCCTGCTTTAGGAGGTCTGTTTACCAGGTGAGCCATAAAGCAGAAATTGAATTAAATGGAGTATTCCAACCATGTGGTAGGGGATATTCGTAAGAGAGTGCAACTGTAAACTCTTACCTCTTTAGAATTATGTGAAAACATATGGGTGCTTCCAGTTTTCCTGATGATCTCACAATGAAAATAACAGTAGTTTCTTTGAAATCCTTATAGTCTGTAGCATGTAAATTGTCTGCAAATGAAGCATATCAAATAGGTCTTTGGTAAATCAGAAGAAGGAATATTTCTGTTACATTAACTTTTTTTAAACATTTTAAGTACATTTACTTCTGTGCTGAATGTGGTCTTTCAATTTTATTTCCTTAACAAGTGTACAGCAAAGAAATGTGGGTTTCACTTACGTTTTGCTGCTGTAGTTCATCTCAAAAAGGATAAAATTTTGCTCATCTCCTGCATATTTCAAGGAAACCTGATGTTTTCTCTGGGTTAAATATTTACTTTAAAGATAAACCTTTATGAAAATAGTGTAATTGTTACTCATGATTCTCTGAAATGGCACTTTCCATGAATATCTGCAGTAAAGATATTCCTCACTCACAGCTCCATAGCATGGAAACATACTAATATATTTTAGCAGGTTTCTAATATGGAAAAGTGACTTTTGTCCTTGAGCTTTAATTCCCAGTACCAGAAACACCTGACACTTTTCCTAGTGCTCATGTCAAATAAAAATACTGTACATTCAAATCAGTTGTTTGATATTGTAATTTCAACCTGCTTTCTAAAGGTCAGGAGCAGGAAGGGAACCCGAGATTGTTTGCACAGGTAGTAAATGCTGTTTAGTTCTGCTTAGTTCATAGTAGCTGACCCCAGTGTCAGAAAAACCATTCCTTGAAATAAGAGAGCTACTTCCAGTTCACCATCTGCTTCTTATATGATACTGCTGATAATGCAGCGCTTTACAGGGGATTTTGGAATATTGTGTAATATTGGTGATGTATGTGATAGTTTATCACATTAGAACTGTATGTTAGCATTAACAAAGGAGCAATATATTGATCTATTGTACTGAAGGAAGCGGGAGATCTTTGGCCTTAGGAGATATGCAGCAGCTAAGAGGAAGAAGTCTATCTAGCATCTACCTTGTCACACCTTGTGCAGAGATGGGATGAGCATTGTCCCGTTCAGGCCACAGAAAGGAGGTGTATTCCGAAGGTCCCACTCCTCCCAAAGAGAAGTAGGCTGGGAAGGACAAGTAAACCTACAGGTGTCTTTCCCCCAAGAGGTCTCCAAAGAGCGTTGTTAGGGAATCTCTGTGCCATCTCTGTGCTTGAGCCAATGCACAAATTGCTGGCTGTGGTGCAGCCCCGCTGATAACCTGCGTTTTTTGAGCACAGGGTGGGGAATTGCAGCAGCACTGGCCACACGAGACCTTCACTGCCTAAATAAAGGGTACTGGCAGTATTGCTCTCGGAGCAGGGGGCTTATAGCTTGGCACTTCTGACACTGGCTTGCAGGATAAGGCTAGTACTGATGGGATCACAGACTTTTCTTTTTCATACAATGAATAACAGTGACAGGCCTGTTGCTCTTTCCAGTGTGGTCTGCTGGAGGTGGCCAGTCCTCTCTTCTGGTGCAGCTGTGAATGAAATCAGCTGAATTTATTTGAAAATAGTAATATTTCTGATCTTACCCTACTTAGTCCATCGGGACGGAACAGTCATTATTTTTAGTAGGCACAGGTTATTTATTTGGCACGTAGAGCTCTGAAGGTATATTCTGTGGATGGAATACAGTAGCCAGAGATGAGAAGATGAGTCTATAATTTTTCCTAGAGCTATAGTCATAGACAAGCTAATAGTATGCTGTTGCTGGTAGAGAAAGCATTTTGCTACTCAGAGATTTTATTTATTTATTTTCCATGGGCTTGCTTCTGCCCCCCCATTGGTATCTGTGGGCATTAGATCAAACTCTTTCTGGTCACAGCCATTGTACGTTTGTAATTCTTTGGAGTGTTTCTCCTCAAACATTGCCATGCAGAGTTTATGAAATAACAGGAACACTCGCTAACAAGACAATGTACTCCATGAGGCTGCCTTTGGGAGGACTTTTGTCTGAAATGGTAAAGCATCACAGTTCAGTGCTTAGAAGAGTATCCTTTAAAAACGAAGTTTCAGACTGTCCTGAGCTCTGAGTGCCCATTTGTGCTTCTGCAATGCCTGATGAAAGAGTTTGTTTCTTTGAGAAAACTGAGTGACTGCTTTCATTCTGCCTTTGCAGCTTGGAAGAATTCTTCGAAGCCCATTTATGAAATTTGTGGCACATGCAGCATCCTTCATTATTTTCCTAGGCTTGCTGGTGTTCAATGCTTCAGACAGATTTGAAGGTATAACAACGCTACCGAATGTCACTGTTACCGATTACCCTAAGCAGATCTTTAGGGTGAAGACTACCCAGTTCACCTGGACAGAAATGCTGATCATGGTATGGGTACTTGGTAGGTATATTACCCCTTCATCTTTATGTCAGCTATTTTCCTACAGATACATTCTGAAAGGAGAGAAGCCCAGGTCCCACACCTTTGCTCCTGCTGCTGTGCAGTTAGAATAAACCCTTAGGGCAGATAGCAGTGTGTTAGAACTGGTGAGAGCATCAGAGCATCTCTGTGTTGCCTCCTCTTGCAGCATGGGGTAAAATTTTCTTTACTGATTTGCCGTACTGTTTGGTAATTCTGGAATTTGTAACAGGAGCGCAGGTCTGCTGAAGAGAACACCACAGAAGTTATACTTTACTGAAGTGGTTTTCTTCAATAGTATCGGGAAGCCTACGCTGCTGTACGTGCCAGAAGGTCAGGAGTTCGTACTGCTCGGTGTCAATGCGCTGGCACATCAGTGCCCGTGGCGTTGCTGCCTAGGTAACATTTGGGGAAATCACAGTTTCTACCAGTGTCAAGGGGCTAATGAGTCAGTTCTGATTACGCAGGGTTTGGTTTGGTGGGTTTTTTTTCACAAAACAGGCAGTCAGCATGTTTGAAACTTGGTGTGGCAGAGGATGCTATCTCTAGCATTTCATCAGTCAGGTGCTTTTCGTAGCAAAATGTTGGTCAGCCCCATGATAATGCAGCGTTCTCAGCTTTTACAGGCTGCGGGAAGAGAAAGCATTACTGTGGCTGCAACATGAAGGTGCCTCACTCTGCCCTCCGAATCACCTATATCTCCTGGTTTAAGCACTGCTTTATCTTAAACTATGTTAGGGTGGGGAGATGCATATCCCTGCATGCTGCCTTGTGGTAGCCCCAGCGTGTACTTGTGGGGAGCAGCCTTATTTGACAGAAGGCAAGGACTGAGATTTTGATGGACTCTAGGACTCGGTCACTGTGAGAATTTCTTGGGCACTCAGAGACAGCCAGCCTCAAGCCAATCCAATCGTGGCTGCTGTGCATATGGTTGGGATGGCAGCAGTACCCCTCTGAATTACCCAGCCAGCGAGACAAGAAAAAAAGTTGTGGTGGTGTGGGTTTGTTGTTTGTTTGGTGTTTTTTCCTAAGAAGCTTCTTTGAAGTAAGAAAAAGTCTTGATTCCCAGCAACCGTATCTCTAGGTTATGATGAGGCTGTGATCTGGGTTAATTCCACGTAAATTAATTTCTAAAGAAAAGCTTGAGTAAGAAAACTGAATTACACATAGCCAAATTCCACTTTCTGTGCTGAAAATTATCTTGTTCTATAAAGTGGAGAACCAGTAGTATAATTGGTTATCTGTGTAGTTAGGTAGCTGTGCTCCTCTGTAAAAATTAATCCTTCTGATTCAGAAGTGTTTTATGAATGTAAATGGTAAGGAACTTAGAGGACTTATTTTTCCACATGTAACATTTTTCCTTCTTCAGAAGTACAGCATACTGTTATATTATTAGGCCATAATATTTTCACTGCAAAGTTGTGTCTCTGTGGAGATTTCTGAGCTTTATCCCTGCATGTCAGTTAATACCTTGCCATTTGACTGACCCTGTTGAAGCCAAGAGAGCCTTCGTCAAGGTGTATGATGACACTGTGACACTGCAAATAAGTGAATTTTTGCCCCACTGGTATCACCTGGTTTCGTGAAATGGCAAACGCAGAGAGTTTAAATGCAAAGAGTTTGGCCAACGTTGCTATGTTTTTTTCATTTCTTGTTGTAGGTATGATGTGGTCAGAATGCAAAGAGCTGTGGCTCGAAGGACCCAGGGAATATATTTTGCAGTTATGGAATGTTTTGGATTTTGGGATGCTGTCCATTTTCATTGCTGCTTTCACAGCGAGGCTTCTGGCGTTCCTGCAGGCCACAAAAGCACAACAATATGTGGACAACTACATTGAGGAGAATGACCTCTCTGAGGTCACGCTTCCTCCAGAAATAGAGTATTTTACTTATGGTGAGTTGAACTTTTCTGCAACACAGATCTGGACATAGAAAAACTGGTAGGATGCACTAGCATTTTGAAGCCTTAAGATGAATATTTGCATGTGTTTGTGTTCATGGCATTGTCTAACCATTTCTGGCTCAATATTTTTGTTTCTATGCTATTTAAACAATAGTTATTGTGATGCTAATTTGACAAATAAGTTTGCTAATATATTAAACCCAAACAATAGGCAAAAGGGCAAAATCAGTTCAAATGTAGCTGTCCATAATTTTGTTGTAACTGTTTATCCTAGAGTTAATTTTGACCCTCTTGACTTTAAACATTTGCAAGCTATATTTAAATATATAAATACACATTTAGAAACATGGTATTTTGATATGAAACACATTTAATTCAGTGTTATTTTGCTAAGATCGTGCATTAATTCACATAATAAGCAATATAATAATTTATATATAACTCAGTTATTACTGTACGTATTGTGTGCAAAACCCACGGCAAAAATCTTCATGATTTCAATGGGGACTAGATTATATCCTGAACTTGTAACAAAGGCAAAAGCTTGCTGTGATTAATAAATGAAATTGTTCGTCAACCAGCACTGATAACTTCCCATCAATAAAACACAAATATGAATAAATTTCTGGCTTTAGCATAGTGCTTATCAAGTTAACTAATAATACAGACATGCTAAGAAAAGCAATAAGGACTTATTTATTGTTTTGTAGTTCAGGTTAAAATGCAAACAGTGGAAGAAAATATCATGTTTCTTCCAGTACAGTTTTTCCTCTAGCAAAAGGTAATGTAACTTTTATTCGTCATTTGTGACTTAAAGGAAATAGGAATAGAGTAGTAACTACCAGACTCTTCAAATATATGTCTCAACTAAATTCAGACAAGTTCATGGAAATTCCTGTCCAGATCTATTTTTCAACATTGTGATAAATTAATACTTCCTTATACTTACCCCTATATTTCATATTTTCCAGCTAGAGATAAATGGCTCCCGTCTGATCCTCAGATAATATCTGAAGGCCTTTATGCAATTGCTGTCGTTCTTAGCTTTTCTCGGATTGCATATATCCTGCCTGCAAATGAGAGTTTTGGGCCCTTGCAGATTTCACTTGGAAGGACTGTTAAGGACATCTTCAAGTTTATGGTCCTTTTTATTATGGTATTTCTTGCATTTATGATTGGAATGTTCATACTGTATTCCTACTATCTTGGAGCGAAACTAAATCCGGCCTTTACAACGTAAGTACGAAGTTGTGTTTAAGTAGAATACCGATATGAAACTTTGAGGTTTTTCATTAAGGTAACAAAGTCTGTGAGATGCTGCATGCTCTCTCCTAGCATTAAAATAAAACTGAAGACAGTTGAAGTCAGTGGGAAATCAGGTATCTTAGAACCTTAGAAAGCTGAATACAAAAGACCAGTTCTTTCCAACTTGTGTAATAGGAAGCTTTCATTGCAGTCTAAAATAATTTTACCTGTATATTGTATTAATCACACAGACTTGTGGACAACCAATTGCAAGAAAATATTACTGACATCTTCTGAATGACGTTTTCCCAAAGCAACCGCTAGAATTTAGTCCTTAACTGAGCTTTGTCAGACCTAATTGATACACAGAGGGATTTAGCCTAGATGTCAATAATAGGCCTCCAAATATTTTTAGTTTGTCAAGAAACAGAGATAGTGATTCTGTAGATGGCATGTTTCTCTCTTAGACAGGTACTGAAACAAATCTGTAAACTGCATTGGACTCTTTTGGATCCAGATTCACAATCTACATGGTAACTGATTATTATCGTTAGTCGTATGAGTACAGAAGAACGGTAGTTAGAAGTCTCTCTTCATGCAAGGAGATTGCTTGCTATAATCTCCCAAGTGTTTTGTTTGCTTGGGTTTTTTACTTCCTGAAACAAGATGGTGCTGGAAGTGATAAATATTTGGGACATTCCAAACCAGAAGTACTTCCACAGGATGATGAAATTCAGAACTTTTAGTTTTCTCCCACCTTCTACAGGAAACATGACTTCTGTAAAATCTGCTGCATTTTCTTGTTGTTGATTCCATGGTTTCTCCTTAATTTGAGCCTGATTTTTGCACTTACTCATTGTCTTTTCTTTAGATAAATAATGAAATATAATGATACTTTTGTAACAGTATTTGGTATCAGGCATCTAGTATGCATACTGTTTAAATGCTTATAAATATTAATTTTTAAACAGCAGTGTTATTTTACTAGACTATACATCAATTCATATTATTATCTGCATTTAAAAATAACTTATCAGTGTTAAAACAGGTGATTCAAGATATGCATAATGGCGTATTTTAGTTATACTTATTAAAGTACAGCTGTCTGGCCCCACAGAGGAAGAAGTAATTTCCAGTAAATTCTGTGGGGTACAATCGGGAAGGCACATCAAAATGTTTCTTGAATATCATTGTCTCTTAGCTTGCATTCATTAGCCTACTTCTCGGTGAGGCAGGATAGAGCTTTGCAGTGAGCTGTCTCCTGAGTGCAGGACAAGTCAACCTGTAGCGGCGTTTCCTGAGTGGAATGAGGAATGTGGCAGTATGAGGAGGAGAGGCTGAAGAGGATCCACTGCCAAAGGCCCTGAAGAGCTGTCTGGCAGCTATCTGAGAGCCCTTGGCAGCTTGGTTCCTCAGGAATCATCCTGACCATGGGGATGGAGACAAGAGCATGGAGGCCGTGGGTCCTGGACTCAGAGCCTTAAGGGTATCTAGGTGCCTGCCTCCTGTTGAAGTGCCTGGCTCCTGCTGATCTCAAGAAGCCTTGACCAAATCCCATGAAATCTGTTTGGTTTGTCAGTTTCATTGCTGAACCTGCGGCTTCCCACTTCTGAGTGCACCTTTCCTAATGGAAGATCTAACCAGAAGCACTTGAAAGGAGTGCAGCAGTTTCTTTCCCATCAGCTCCATTTGTAGCTTTATTAGGACAGGGAAGGTCTGCCCCCTGCGGAGTTAGACTGGAAAATAATGAGATGAGAATATGCTTCGTCTCAAAACCTGGATATAGAATACCTTTCTAATTCCTGGGCTGTTGTTGTGCACGTATTATTACAACTGTATTATTGATGATGGATAGGTGGAGCACAGTGGAGAAATTGAACATACTGTGAAAAATATTTTCTTGTATGTTTGTTGTTTTGAACAGTGCTCTACAAACATGGCTCAGACAAATTAAACTTGAGATTGTTTGTCACTTACTGTAAACACACTTATATATTTATTTGTGTAGTTAGTAATAATGGCTTCCTCTTTGTTTTCGTACAGAGTGGAAGAAAGTTTCAAGACCTTATTTTGGTCAATATTTGGCTTGTCTGAAGTAACCTCTGTTGTCCTCAAGTATGATCATAAGTTCATAGAGAACATTGGTTATGTTCTTTATGGCATATACAACGTAACGATGGTGGTAGTTCTGCTCAACATGCTGATTGCTATGATCAACAGTTCATATCAAGAAATTGAGGTGGGCTCTGTTCTCAAGTTCTCTTTTGTTATGTTGAAAAAGGGCAGAATTATTAGGAATTATTTCAGTGAGCACGTCTTGATAGGCAAAAGTATGGTGAAGAGATTACCTCAGTAAAGGAGACCACAAAAACCACCATGTCCCTAGGGCTGGCTTCATCTAAAAACCCAGCCAAACTGCAGAACCTTACAGGATCTGAACAAGTAGTTCATCTTGTGCCACATATACACGTCTAAGGAGATGTCATCCATCCAGAAAACTTAAAATCTAAAGTAATGTTCAAATGAAGACTGCTGTGAAGTAGAAAACAGTTACTGGGCGTAACATTTTAGACATGGGTGGTCCATTCCCAGTTTCCTTAGGATGCTTATTGCGTGCTTCCTTAGTGTAGTGCGCTTCAATCTTTACCAGATCATTAGGATGCGGATTAAATGTATTTTGATGTGTTCATTAATGGAAGTGTGGTTTTAGTTCTAATCCTCAGACCTTTTAGCTAAATGTGCAGGAGGTAGACACTTAGGCACAGCAGTGATACATGGACATTATAACGTTTATATGCCTCTGAATGTGGAGTGTGATACAGGTGCTTATCTTCAAGGTGGTTGTGACTGAGTCACAATCGCAATGTTTACGTGCTTTGTTTGTAAGATGTGCTTTTTTCCGCTTTGGGTACAATATCAAAAACTTGATTCTAAGTTTACTGAGCTTCGCCATATGCTCTGAAAACACAGTGGGAGCATTTCTCCAAAACTGCCAAATGGCTCAGTTGACTGAATACTTGGATTTCACAGAAAGTTATTGGCTGCATTGCTTATTAAGAGAGATATTTTAATTTCATTATGATGACAAAGTATCTTCATTTTTAGAGATAATTCATTAAGAGTGTTTAGCATTCAACTCCAATAAAAAAATCTCAGAAAATTTAAAGTAGGGAAGATACTGGGGTTTTAAAAAATAAATCCCAGGTTGCTGAAATGAAAGCAGAAGTGTATTTATAGTGCCAGTTTTCCAGACCATGAGTTCTGATATTATACAGAGTACTACATTCACATAGACACAGGCACACACCCACGTTTTAGATTATCCGAGACATGGTGTACAAATGGATATGTCATTTCCAGTATTTTC